CTACTCACTCCAGTATTCTGGCCTGGAGAGTTCCATGGATTCGATAGTCCATGGGGTCGCAGAGAGTCGGACNCTAATATCCAATAGCATAAAAATATTTAAAGTGTCTGGAACTTATTAAGTGTGGGCAAATTTTCATTGAAAAACCAACTTCAACCTTGCTAGCTTGGGATCCACAGTAAAAATCAGACAAGCTCACACATCGCTCTTTACGCAGTATTGCTATAAAAGTGAATTCTCATCAAGTTCTGAAATAAACAGTAGAATATAAAAGAGCTCTGCCTCCAGTTTCCAAATAAGATAGTTCTAAAATAATCTGGCTGCCATTTGGGCAAATATATATGTGTGTTTTGTCTTGACAGCCTGTCAACTGGCAGACAGTTCTGGAATATCACATTCATTTCAATGTAATATTGGTAAATTTCTCAATTAGAATTTTATTTTTCACCCTCTGCAACAATGAAATCCCCCAGTCCTTGCTGGCATTCTTCAGGGTGTTCAGGTGCAGGTGTTGGCATTTCTGCAGTAGCAAAGGAAGAAAAATGAAAGAAGGCAGGCAGGGAGGGAAGAGGCAGGCTGGAAGAGAACAGTGGTAATGGGGAGAGAACAGAGATAGGAGCTGACCTTCATCCTGATATTCACCTTCATGAGAAATGAAGGGAATAATTCACACTTGACAATAAAATAGTGTAGCTGCCTCTTCCTCCTTTAACCAGAGAGGCTGGAGTCAAACAGAAACCAGACACCCGATGCATAAAATCGATACAGAGGGAAAGTCCACAGGTAATATGGGAATGAGATTAATAAAAATAATTTTATAAACCACAACCACCAATTATTGAACACTTCTTTACATTATGGCATGCCTTTACCTTCTATTTTATCATGTGATTCTCAAAAAATGAAAGCAAGATAGAAGTTGTTATCTTTGCATTGTGGCCAAGGGAAATAAGCAACAGTTTCACCTCCTTGAATTTCAAAGTCGAGCAGATAATAAGGGATAGAACCAGGATTCAAAATTTCATCCATTTGGTTTCAAAACCCACTCTTTCAACTGCAGCATATTCCATGTGGTTTTCAGCAGAGATGTAACAAGCTAAGCATTTTTAAAATAACTATGTAAGTTGGTGTAGATTATTTCTTTTATAAAGAAATACTATACTATATTGTACATATAGTATAGTATTGAGCAGTATAAATATAGTATAAATACCGTGCTCTATTTATAAAGAAATACTATACTATATTACTATACTCTTATAAAGAAAAATCTTTTAGATAGAGGAACAATGTATAAGTGCACATACACATTGCATTATATAGCTAATAATATCTTTAAATTCCTTTCCTTAGCTGAAACTGACTATGAAGTTTGTAGAAGTTTGTATTTTATTTTTTTCCCTCAGCATATTTATCAGGGGCATGATTCATACACACAGGAATGGGAGCCTCTGACACATCTACAATAAATAGGTATAGACTTGGCCATTAAAGATGTAGAAATTATAATAATGAAGAAAAAAATAGCAGCTTTCTGTTGATCATTTATTAGTAACTAAGATTAAGTATTCTCTATATGGGGCTTCCAGGTGGCCCAGCAGTAAAGAATTAATCTGCCAATCCAGGAGACATGGGTACTCTCCCTGGATCAGGAAGATGCCCTGGAGAAGGAAATGGCAACCCACTCCAGTATTCTTGCCTGGGAAATCTCATGGGCAGAGGAGCCTAGCAGGCTACAGTCCATGGGGTCATAAAGAATTGAACATGACTTAGCAATTAAACAATAACAATTCTGTATGTATTGTAAGTGGTAATAGTCCTTTATAATCACCTTACACTAACAGAGACAGACTCATAAACTTAGAGATCAAATTTATGGTCGCCAGGGGAATAAACAAGGGATGGAATAGTTTGGGAGTTTGGTGGACAGGTACACACTGCTATATTTAAGATGGATAACCAAGAAGGAACTACTGTACAGCACATGGAATTCTGCTCACTGTTATGTGGCAGCCTGGAGGGGAGGGGACTTGGGGAGAATGCAAGCCATACTTGCATGTATGGCTGAGTCCCCTTCGCTGTTCCACCTATCACAACATTGTCAATCATCTATACCTCAATATACAATAAAAAGGTTTTTCGTAAAGATGGATTAGGCAAGTTCTGTGCCCTAAATAACTTGATGAAATGAGAAGCAAATAAAAAGAAAGAAAAAAGTATAGTATTTCTCAGCTCCTGTTTACATGTCAGAATTTTAAAAAGTATGAACATGAAGGTGTTTTTGATTGTCCGTGGGTTCCTTTCTACTGCAGTAGTGATGGAAGAGAGAGAACTTCCTGCTAGAAATCCCTAGAAGTCTCCCACAAACTTTCCCTAGAAAAAGTGTCATTTCAGCCTACCATAGAGGAGTGATTTGATTTTGATAAGAAGGAAAAAATATACATAAAAGTAGGATTCTTCACGAAATAGACAAAATAGAGTCTTGGTAGAAGAAATACACTGGTAAGATGTGAACACCTGAAGCCAATTCTGATTTGCTGCTGCAATGGGTGAATCTACCAAAGTTATCATTAGGTTAAAAAATAAGAGATCAAATGAAGCCAAACTATTTACCTAATTGGGGTTTTTGATTTGTATCTCTATTTGTGTGTGTTTTTTTTATCACATTATGTTCACCTACTTCTAATTTATGTGATTTTGCTGCATAGACTACAGGTTGCCTTAAATGTAGTTTGAAACAAACCAGGGTATCCATTCCATCCACTGTATGCTTAGGAACGACTTTGGTGATCTTGGGCCCTGGATCTTGGATTCTGTCTACTGCTTTTGTCAGACAAGGAAGAATTCTAAAATTCCCTTTGATTCTAGTATAAAGTCCCGGGTCAGGAATTCCTGTATCAAGGCCAGAGTTTGGGGATGAAGTGAAGTGAAAGTCACTCAGTCGTCCAACTCTGCAACCCCATGGCCTGTAGCCTGCCAGGCTCCTCTGTCCATGGAGTTCTCCAGGTCAGAATGCTGGAGTGGGTAACTGTTCCCTTTTCCAGGGAATCTTCCCAACCCAGGGATCAAACCCAGGTGTCCCGCATTGCAGGTGGATTCTTCACCATCTGAGCCACCAGGGAAACCTGAGAATACTGGACTGGCTAGTCTATCCCTTCTCCAACAGATCTTCCCAACCGAGGAATCGAACTGTTGTCTCTTGCATTGCAGTCAGATTCTTTACCAGCTGAACTACCAGATAACACTGATTTGGGGATAAATAAGCAAATACAAAAAAAAAAGGGAAGAAAAAGGTAGAAAACCGTGTTTTGGAATAAATGTTGTTCTGTGGAGTATAATGAATATTTCAGTGGCTCACAAAAAGTGGGAATGAGTCATTGGTGATAGCAAGGATTCTTTTAAAAGTTCAGTCCAAGAAAGATGAGCACAACACACAAGCCTCTAGTAGCTGATTTCCTAATCCACTCTAGACTCTACCCACCAGCTCAATGCAATATCTGGCTGACTACAGACCTAGACGGTTTTCTATTTCTCTATGTGCTATATCTGCATGTGAATACACACAAACAAATAATTAAACATCAAGCGGATTAGTCTGGCATGTTGAAACAAATCTTGATAAATCCGCTTCAGTAACAATACTCGAACTCCAGGTCTATGAGAGGAATACAAATTCAGCCTATTGAAGTACTGTCGTGCAAGGAGAGAGATTTTAATAAAACTGCTTCGTCAGTTCCTATTACTCAGGGACTAAAGCTATTGAGCTGTGGAACTGAGGCCAAAAATGGGGATTTGGAAATGCAAATTAGAGATAAGACGGTAATAAATGTCTCTTATTCAATCACACACTATCCCTGATGCCAAAAGCTATTTTAAAGATGATTGTTAACAGTTCTGTGAAAAATGGAAGCATACATACCCAAAATGGACATCTCTGGTACGGTGGCATGGTAGGGTCCATTGAGAAACTCTGGGGCATTGTCGTTGATATCTTGGACTTTAATAATAAATTCAGAAGGAGGCTCAAGAGGCTTATTTGTCTCCCAGTCCACTGCTTGAGCTGTTAGGGTGTACTCAGCTTTTTCCTCTCGGTCAAGTCTTTTTATAGCATGGATATCTCCTGTTACATCATTTATTTGAAAGATAGTCCCAGCTCCATCGCCTGACAGGATGTATTTGATTTTTTTGCTCCCAGGATCCAGGTCTGTGTGTAGCTAAAATGAAAGGGGACATTGGTTAGTGATGTGGCAATTTGCCAAGTATGTTTTAACTACCTCATGTTTCAATATAAAGTTGTTTCTTTCTACATTGATTATAACTTCATCAATTTCTGCCAATAGTAGCTGCATAGAGAGTCTGTGCAACCCTCTGTATATCAAGTAAAGTAATGAGAGTCAAATATATTTGAATGCCTTTAAAATATACTCTGGCCTGTTCAGTATAAATTGATATACATTTACAATGATAAAAAAAATTGAGCAGAAAACATTAAAGTATATGTGTTCCTTCAATTTATTCATATATTTACTTGTTTAGTATGAACTGATGTGCAATTAGAATGATAAAAAGATTGATAAAAATATATAAAAATGTATGCATTCTTTTCAATTTGTTAATACATTTAAAGACTATTATTATTAGTTATTTTTATGGGCTACTATCTGTGTGCCAAAAACTGTGTAGATCAAAACAAATCTTGATAAATCCGCTTCAGTAACAATACTCGAACTCCAGGTCTATGAGAGGAATACAAATTCAGCCTATTGAAGTACTGTCGTGCAAGGAGAGAGATTTTAATAAAACTGCTTCGTCAGTTCCTATTACTCAGGGACTAAAGCTATTGAGCTGTGGAACTGAGGCCAAAAATGGGGATTTGGAAATGCAAATTAGAGATAAGACGGTAATAAATGTCTCTTATTCAATCACACACTATCCCTGATGCCAAAAGCTATTTTAAAGATGATTGTTAACAGTTCTGTGAAAAATGGAAGCATACATACCCAAAATGGACATCTCTGGTACGGTGGCATGGTAGGGTCCATTGAGAAACTCTGGGGCATTGTCGTTGATATCTTGGACTTTAATAATAAATTCAGAAGGAGGCTCAAGAGGCTTATTTGTCTCCCAGTCCACTGCTTGAGCTGTTAGGGTGTACTCAGCTTTTTCCTCTCGGTCAAGTCTTTTTATAGCATGGATATCTCCTGTTACATCATTTATTTGAAAGATAGTCCCAGCTCCATCGCCTGACAGGATGTATTTGATTTTTTTGCTCCCAGGATCCAGGTCTGTGTGTAGCTAAAATGAAAGGGGACATTGGTTAGTGATGTGGCAATTTGCCAAGTATGTTTTAACTACCTCATGTTTCAATATAAAGTTGTTTCTTTCTACATTGATTATAACTTCATCAATTTCTGCCAATAGTAGCTGCATAGAGAGTCTGTGCAACCCTCTGTATATCAAGTAAAGTAATGAGAGTCAAATATATTTGAATGCCTTTAAAATATACTCTGGCCTGTTCAGTATAAATTGATATACATTTACAATGATAAAAAAAATTGAGCAGAAAACATTAAAGTATATGTGTTCCTTCAATTTATTCATATATTTACTTGTTTAGTATGAACTGATGTGCAATTAGAATGATAAAAAGATTGATAAAAATATATAAAAATGTATGCATTCTTTTCAATTTGTTAATACATTTAAAGACTATTATTATTAGTTATTTTTATGGGCTACTATCTGTGTGCCAAAAACTGTGTAGATCACTTCTCATGTACTAATTCTTTCCATTTTTTCCAAAAGTCATTGAATTAGAATATTCCATATGAAACATGAGAAAAGGGAAGTTTGAGAAGGTATATTGTAACATCTCCACAGTTTCCGTTTGATAGAAACAAGTGCAGCAGGCCTAAAGTACAATTCAGCTCTGGCTGCTATATTCAAAACACTGACATAATTCTAACAATCTGATGGATATTAAGACCTTACGTTTGTGTAAGTTTTTTGTCCCCTTCGATTTGTATAATTCTTCTAGTCCAGGAACATTATTCCCATTTTGCAAAGAGGACTGAGGCCAGATTATGGGAGCACATTTTCCAGAAATGGGACTTCTTTGAGAAATAAAAATTTTGCAGCAGGAATTCAGATCCATCTTCAATCATGGCGACAAGTATTTACTGATCACCTACTCTGCCTAAAACATTTTGGTATGTACTGAGGAAAACAGAACCCCCAAATTTCACAGTTTATTCTCAGGAGGGAAACAAAAGTGTTCTGATATACAGTGCTGTTTCTTTATACTATACAGACTCCTATTAAAAAAATAAAATAAAACAAGAATATATATTTTTAATTCGCATTTTTAAGAGGAAAATTCATTGGATTATAGTTATAAAATATTGCCTAAATGCACATATTTTCAGTTAAACACAATTATTTAAATGCCAATATAATTAGTTCTTGGGCTTCCCTGGTGACTCAAATGGTAAAGAATGCACCTGCAGTGCAGGAGACCTGGGTTCGATCCCTGGGTTGGGAAGATCCCCTGGAGGAGGGCAGAGCAACCCACTCCAGTGTTCTTGCCTGGAGAACCCCCATGGAGAGAGGAGCCTGGTGGGCTACAGTCCATGGAGGTGCAAAGAGTCGGACACGACTGAAAGACTAAGCACACGTGCATAGTTAATTCTTGCATCATGAGATTTTTAAATACCTGTTCCTTAAAATATATATATGTATATATTGAAGAAAAAAAGTTTTGTGCAAAGAAACTCCTAGAAACTCAAAAGGCATTGCGTTCTCTTGGGATCACTTTTTATTCAGAACAGATTTTATCACTTTCTTTGCCAATTTAAATTTTATTTAGCACCTCAATAAATGAAAAGATTATACAAAAGACATAAAACAGCAACAAAGCATCCAAACGCATCTAGATCTCCTATTTTACTTCTGAATATTTTAAAAACTTACAGCATAAGATTACATCAAATATTTATTGAACCTCAAATTGTATCCATTTCATTTATTGTACTAAATTTATTAACAAGAGGAAATATTGAAATGCCACTTTATCTTAATGAATGTGGGAATATAATTCATTAATGTGCTATTAATCCTAATTTATGATCATTTTAATTTATGTGCATTTTAATATTCTATTAGCATTTTTATTAAAAAAGAAAAATTTGAATAAAGTATGATTCATGGATGTTCCCATTCATATACATGCATTCCCGAGACTCAGAATGTATTCACATGTGTCACTCTTGCCCATCACAGTTTTGCTATCAAAAATTAAGTCATTCAAAATACTGGTATTATTTATGTTAGAACTTATTTGTGCCATATTTTCCATACATTTATCAACATCCTCTGATTAGTAAATCATATCATATTCTTAGATTTTGGTGGTCCTTTGTATTTAGGGAGAAGGGAACAGCATAGGTTTTGAAAAAACAATAAGCTAAGACTCAGATTTCTCTAACTATGTGAACTGAAGAGATTAACACATTTGTTTGAGCTTCAGTTACTTTGCCTCTAGTATAGAGATAAGACACCTATTTTGCAGAATTGGTTTTATAATCTGAGATGATCTATTTGAAAAACAGAAAAATTAAATGTTAACTGTACAATAACTGAAGCTGTTTCTACTTCATAACATCCTCAACTATATACAACTATCTGAAAACACTATAATAAAGCCTAACTGCAAGCTGAGTGAAAAGTTCCCAAAATTCCATCCTGAAAAAATGGAAAGAAAAGCTCTTAGCAAACACTGTGTACTTCCTCTTTCTTCTGGAAAATTATTTTTAGCAAATCTCAGCAAAATCCAGAGCCCTCATGGTCTTAAAAGGCAGAATATTGTGTTTCCATATTCATTCCTTTCATCCTGTTATTAACATTGGCACACACACTCGCACATGGCCCATTGAAGTAACCAACTTGACATTACAAATAAAGACCTGTGGGTGTGTAAGAATAGCGATTTACAGGGAGCAAATGTTCATAAGACTCCACATCTGGTCCTGAGGAATCAGAATACATGCTAATAAGCTGCTGCTGTCTCCGTTGGTCTTCATTGTCTGTTTAAACCTGCTCACTTCAATGTATCAAGACTATTCTGTCAACCCACCCCAGGACCTTCTCTGTGAGATCATGATGCCAAAGACATCCCAAATGCACCACATTTTCACACACCATGCATCATCTGGAAGTGTGAGGACCATCTCTCCCAAGAACTGCTTCTGCTAATTATACCAGGATAAGGGCCACATGCAAATTGGCTGGAGTGGTAAGATGTTGGCCTGGCTGTGGTACAAAGACCTCATCCAGTCATTGGTTAATTATGCACCAAACATGATTATAAGCAACACAGACATGGTCTCTGCCTTCAAAAACCCACAGCTTTGTGGGGGATAACCCAAACAGAAAACATTTGTTATTGTTACTGTCACTATTACTGTCACACGTACTGACCACTTATTATCTGGTAAACATTTTGCATCTACATATGTAATACTATTCTCACAGCCAACCAGAGACCATTTCTGTATTTCAACAATGAAATGACTGAAATTCAGAGATTTTTAGGGAACTTTTCCATAGAATTCACTATCAGCAAGTGGCAATCTTAATAGGGTTTAAAGTAAATTTCCTGGATTCAAATACATGCTCCAAGGCTCTGATACAGAAGGAAATCTGGGGTGGTGGGGGGAGGTGGGGATGGAGTGCATGTGTTAAATTTATTTAACTCACAAAGTGGAGCGTGGGGAACAGCAAAGGCCACTACAGAAAAGTAATGATTGGGTTTCCCTGGTGTCTCAATGATAAGGAATCCACCTGCCAAGGCAGGAGTCACGGGTTCCCACGCTGCTGAGCAACTAAGCCCATGGGCCACAAGTACTGAGCCTGTGCTCGAGAGCCCACAGCCACGACAGCTGAGCCCACGAATCTCAACTCCCGAAGCCCGCACACCCTCCAGCCTGGGCTCCACACAAGAAGCCTCCACGATGAGAAGCCCGAGGACCACAGCTAGAGAGCAGTTCTCACTCACCGCAACTAGAGAAAAGTCTATGCAGCACTGAAGACTCAGCCCAGCCAAAAATAAATCAATGAAATTATTGTTTCAGGCTTCCCTGATAGGTCAGTTGGTAAAGAATCCACCTCCAATGCAGGAGACCCGGTTCGATTCCTGGGTCAGGAAGATCCCCTGGAGAAGGGAAAGGTTACCCACTCCAGTATTCTGGCCTGGAGAATATTATTTTTAAAAAGTAATGATTAAAGTTTCATATCACAAAGCGGGAGGGGATACTCTCCAAGCACAGGTGAACGTATAGGTGAAGATCCACAGATAAGAGACAGCATACTGACTGAGATAAGCTAGAGATGATTTAACAGTCTGTGTACCGACTTTAGGAAAAAGAGAGGTCACAAGAAATAAGGATAGAAAGCCAGGGAGGGGTCAGATTATGTAGAGTTTCGAGAGCAAACTATAGAGTTCAGATCTGACTTTATAAAGACAACAACAGTCCATATTCACACACTTTCAGTAAGATGCCTGGCATCATAATAGTTTTGTGTCAGTAAGTCACAGTGGTAGGCATGCACCCGTTAGCAAAAGTCTTAGAAGCAAAGGGAAAGAGGAAGTCAGAGGAAAACTTAGACATCAATTTGCAAAGCTACCTCAATTTGGGACTCCAAGTTCAGCCCAGCACCCATGATCTGTGTCACCTACAACCAGATGAACCCCTGTGGTCCCTCCCTGCAGCCTGGGCGAGGAGCAGAAGTGTCGGGTTTACAGCGAGCAATCCTGGTCACTCACTGGTCATTCATGTTACGTCATCGATTTCAGGGATCATAACAGGACTACAACATAACTGAGCTGAATTGTGAGCATCAATGTAATTACACGAGCCCTATCTTTCATATGTTTGCATAATACCCCCTAATTACAAGTTTAAACTTTAAAAGCCATGGGAAGAAACATTTGCCTTTCCACTTTCCTTTGCATTCCCACTGCCTAGTAAGGTGCCTGTCATGCTGCTGGGGTTCAGAAAGTATTTGTGGAGTAAGGTGAATGGAAAGGAAGGGAAGGAAAGAACTCAGTTTATAAAGGTCTCAGTTTATTGAGAGTTTCTCAAGTTTCAAAATAGTAATTTAAAGAAGAGTGAAGAAATTTAGCAATGTGAGGTCTAGTGAGCTGAAACCTTATCTACTCTAAACATAAAACCCTTGAGTTCCCTCAATTCTGCATTCAATTTTAGCAGAACTTCTAAGACATAGCAGAAGGAACATCA